AAGCATTTGCAAAACAATAAGTCTTAAGTAAATTGATGTCTATTCAGTAAATAAATGTTATTTACTGTACCTATTATTTGCCAGGAACTGTTCTCTATACTGGGATACACAAATAAGAAAATACACAAAGTTCTTGCTGTAGTCAAATGTTGAAAAAAACTACAGTTAATACTGGGGAAAAAATTTGTTCTGGTAAATGAACAAAAAAATCCAGCATAAAGTTAATGATATCACAATACTCATGAATTAGACTATTCTTTTTTTTTAAGATTTTTTATTTATTTATTTTTAGAGAGGGAAGGGAGGGAGACAGAGAGAGAGAGAGAGAGAGAGAGAGAGAGAGAGAGAGACATCAATGTACAGTTGCTGGGGGTCATGGCCTACAACCCAGGCATGTGCCCTGACTGGGAGTTGAACCTGCGACACTAAATTAGACTATTCTTGAGCTTCTGAAATAAAGATGCTGATTCTTCATTATTCCAGCACATCAAATATTAGTGACAAGTGATGTTATATATTCCAAGTCAGCAACTAGGTAGAAGAGAGTGGGTGGAGAGGCACACCTCCTCACTCATCTTGTGATTAGTTGGGCATAGCTGTAAAACAAGAAAGAAACCGAGAAACCCAATTGCAAAGTCCAACATTTAGATAAAATTGCTTGAAACTCAAGGATATTTACTCGAATTGACTATAAAGCTTTCACTGTTCCAAATGAAGTTGGCTATGGTTTGGGAGAGTTTACTTTTCCCATTTTTCCTTTATTTTCCATGGGATGTGTGGCAGAATTAGAGAGTATCCATTCTTTGAGTCTCCTATCTGAACTCCAACTCTAACTCCTTTTTCCCATTCAGTTTTAACCTTCAATAAGTATAGTTTTAAAATTTAGCAGTCCTGGAAAGATCACTGTAGAAGGAAGACAACGTTTTTCCATCTTAAACACAACTTCCAAGTGGCAGACTGGAAAATCTCTGCAGGCAAATGTGATGTCACTAAAGAAACCACACACTTACCCGTAGAGATTCTACAGTCTGACATCTTCCAGCATCGAGCCACTTCATCAGCCATGCTTTTCTGCATGCAGTTCTCGGACTCGAAATAAATTTGAATTGGCCAAATAACCAAGCCATAGCTAACATATTGAACGTCTAAACCAAGGTGACAGATGTGCCTCCTGATGATTGAATCCTGCTAAGTTAAACTGTAAAAAAGGAGGTTAAAATGGCGAACAGCAGTTGTTATCCAAGGGTGATCCCCATTTAGCATATCAGCATCACCAGGGACCCTATTAGACATGCAAATTCTCATTCCCACCCCAGGTCTCCAGGATCAAAATCTCTGAGAATGAGCCCCAGCAATCCGTGTTTAACAAGCTTCCCAGATGATTCTTACTACACTCACATTTAAGAGTCACTGGTTTACAGAATGCAAAAAATTATCACTGGAACACGGAGCCCAGAGGTCTTCTGATGCTCAATAATAGACAAAAATCAGACAAAATAATATGTATTCTTAAAAATATTGCCTAGTATACATTACTTTTCTAAAGTGATTATCTTAATAATAAGCATAAGAATTAATAAGGAAATGAAACCTATTCCTTTAACTCTTACTTTGCCAAAGAATTTGCAGAGCTTTACTTATTTCCTCAGAAACAGAGAGCTAAGAAATCTAATTTAGGAGGAGAAAACGTTTTCATGTTTGGGAGGATGAAAAGGGTACTGACGTCATTCAAGTCATGAGCCATAATTCTTATTAGATTTTATTGCTACATTCTTCACACAGCTTTGGAAAGTTATTCCTAAGAGCACAAAATATGTACTGAGACTGCACACGGAGAAAGAAAATGCTCTCACAATGAAATTATTTAAGCCTGACCCAGTAATATTTGAAAAGCTCACAATTTGTTCTCTATGTACCATATCATTTCAAAATAAGAGGAGTTTAGATCAATTTGTCTTTTTCAATACCTTTTATGATTTTCCCTCTTAACACTAAATTTGGAAATGAAAGATCTAATTTCTGTATATAATACTAAAAAATCCATTTTATTTTCCTCTCTGATATTATAAATATTGCATGGATGAAGGGCTAAAAAATAAAAATTATTAAAAATTATCATTTAACTTGGCCCTCAGTGACAATGAATAAAATACACAATTAAGTTATTCTATAGTAGTATCTAAAATGATGGTATGCTTGTTAATTAATAACTTCTGGTAGCATGTTATAAAATCATCTTCAGTTTCATTCTTAATGAATTCATTTTTATTATTTCTGGACCACACCAATTTCCCATGATGTGATGGAAAAAAATTGTAACATTCATAAATTGAATTAGATCACACACAAAATGTCAACTCACTCAGATTATAATAATAAGGTTTGGCTTATTCGCCGAAAAGTGAGAGCTCAACTACGTCCAGATTCTGCAACGACAGTGCTAGAGATCAGTGAGATGTTTCAGAAACTTCAAACAACCTGAAGGAAGTATATTTACTCAGAAGAGCCTCTCTAAATATCAGGTTTCTTTGCTTTTATTGCAATTAAACCAAGTCATGCAATTGCTGATCAGAATCTTCAACTGGCAGCCTTAAATCTTTTGATATTAACAAAAAAAATTAACCAATTATGCAATTTGATACACAAAATCTTTCAAAACATGGAATTCATTGCAGGAAACAATAAAAAGTGATTCTAGCAATTTAGCATCCTCCCGGGCAGTAAGGGAGCAACAACTATCCAATAGCAGCAATGAATAGCTACTACTGCATGAAACACTATATACACATTTATCTCATTTAGCCTTTGCACAAAACTGGTAAGGAAGGTATTATTAACAATTAATTCCACTTTACAAATGAAGAGACTGAAGCTCAGAAAGATATAAATGGGAAGGAAATGGGAAGATATAAATGGGAAGTATTATCTGAGTCTACATAACTATACATCTGAGACAAAATGATATGGAGGAAGAAGCATGGAACTATAGGAAACCTGTGTTTTGAATATTCAATTTCCCCCACCCAAGACTCCCTGGGTCTCAATATCCTCATCTTTAAACCAAGCAAAGATGTTTTGTTTATCGTTTAGTTTCCATGGCTAGGAAAGCACTCACCAGTGTTAAAGAACTGGGAAGAGAGAGGATGCTGATATTATGCTTGGGATGAAATAAGCAAGCTTTAGGGATGGCCTGGTCTCCTGCTATACCCTCCCCCCCACAAAAAGAACTGTATTCGCTGCTATGGAAAATGCAAGAGAGAGGATGCTGATGGAAGGATTCATTTGCCCCCATCATTAGCCCCACCGAAGGACACTGGCCTTCTCTTTTTGTTGATCCTCCTTCCCAGGTCTAGCCATGCTCCTTTATTCCAGCTTGGTGACCCCATGGCCACTCTTCCTTGAACAGGCAAATGGCTTCTCTTAAAGGACTATGCCAGACAAGGCCACATGCTCTTTCCTCTCTTGGGGTAGCAGATTTCCTCCTCTTTCTTTCAAGGGACATCAGGGTTTTCAATAAATGTGTAACTGAAATATACCAATGCCCAAGGGTCTATGCCCAAGTGGAGCTTGGCCACCACGTGCCACACCTCAGCAAATTGAAGTTCCTAACTGGACACACTCCTGACAGGCACTCCAGAAGCTCTGCCATTCACAGAATCGTAACATTTCAGATCTGCAAAGGAAAGGAGTGACTACTTAAACAAGCTCGATTATTTATGGAGCAGTGACTGTGTATGGGCTTCATTGCACGCGCGCTGTCGCATTGGATCCTCTCACAACCTTCTATGAAGTGGGACTATTCATAGCCCCATTTTGCATATGAGAAAACTGAAGCTCCTAGAGGTTTAATAAGGGTCTTAGACCAGATCTGTTTGATTCCAAAGCCCATCTTCATAAACACCATCCAGTTTTAGGATCCAGAAGTTGAGTGATCGGTCACATGTCATACAACTAGTTAATGATAAACCTGAAAGTAAACCTTAAACCATATGATGTTTATTTGTAATAATTTACTTCAATAGTCTATATTCTTATAAAAGTGCCTGAAAGAATTATTCAGTTTATCATATAACCCAAGTGGCTGACTCAAAAGCAAAACTGATCACTTATAATCTACTGGCTAGAGTGGATACCAAGGAAGAAAGGTTCATATAAATTCTGCATTTATTTATATTTTAACCTCCCCCCTACAACAAGTAAATGCTAAAATCATACCTTTCTATAGCTGAGAACATGACAAACCATCACATTCACACATTCTTATAAAATAGGTGCCTCATCCTTTCCTAACTTCTGGAGTAACCTAAATATCAAGGCAAAACAAATCATTAATATATTTGTAGCACAGCGGGGACCATTCTGGGGGTTTTGTAATACCAGGCTTGGATTAGCACTTAGAACAGGTAAATGTTACCAAATCCATTACTCGGGGTCAAATTTACACATCCCTTGTCCACTCTGTCTCCTGTAAAGTTTCCACTGAAAGGCCCATTAAGGATATTACAGCCTGTAAAAAGTAGATCATCTTTCCACTTGATAAATGTCTTTTCATTTTCTAAGTGGTCACCCACCATGGTGGCTGCCATGGAGAACTTCCATCAGCTCACAATCATTATCTACCAAAGTAAAATGGCACATAATGAAATCTAATCCAATAAAAAGTGTGATTACTTGCTATGGTAAATTGTCCTATTAATAACTCAAAAGAAAATACAAAGGTACCTTTCCTGAGTGGCTGTAACTCGCATTTGTTTTCCCTTCCCATACTTCTGTTCCTCATCACCTTGCCTCTTATTTTCTTTCCCTCCTTCTCCCCTCTCCCTCACCTCTGCAAAACTCAAAGCTGTGTTTGGTTGTGGAAGGGGAAGAGGTGAAAGGCAAAATAATTTCAAGTAATGCATAAAACACATCACTAGTCACTCATATATATTATTCTCTCTCCCTCAGACCCCAACCAGGAGCTTCAGAAGAACTAAAAGTCATTATTTTTTTTTGTGCAGGTTATTGCTTTAGGGAAACCAGGAATCTCTGTGTTTTCTACAAAAAAGGTAACTTATCACCATTATTGTTACTGACAACTATTTGCTGGTCACACCACAGGCTGGGAACAGTGCCAAATGCTATATGTTCTTTAGGGTGCTAGGCAATGAAGACAAGGTATTCCTTTTTTAGTGGGGATTCCCCTCTGAGCCTTAATTTTCAATGGCCTAATGGGTTTACAAGTGCATTAAATTATCCCTTACTTCAAGATTCAATTATAATTTATTCATATTTTAGTATCTCACTTTTATGGAATTTTAAGTGTTTTCTCCAACTCATTTTTAGAACAAACTCTCTTCTCTCACTTTATGTAGAATACATCCTAACTGGCCACATTTGATTTCAAATATTTATATTAGAAGGACACAAATTCATTTAAGAAACTAATCATGTGAAAGCTATGTGTAGTATTTATAAAGATGGCAATGTTCTTTTTCTTGACATGGGTGGTGGTTACATGGGTGTGTTCATTTTGTGATAATTCACCAAGCTGTACACTTATGATTTGTACATTTTTATGTAAGTGCACTTACCTCAATAAAATAATGTAAACATTTGTATTTATGAAGAGCCTCGACATCCCCTCCCCAAACACATGCAAACCCACACCAAAATAACTGATTTGACGAGAGAATATTTATTCTCCCTCTCCCAGAGCCCTTATTTCTTGCCCTAGGGACTTTAATTCTTCAACCACAATACTAAGAGATTGTTTTTAGAGCCTTCCTCTCTTTGGGCTCTCCTCCCCACTGTGGGCTTTCTTCTACAGACTGGGGCCTCATCTTCTCTAATAGGTCCCAATCTTTTCTTAATATCTAAAATACAATGTAAAAGGTCTTTCCTTCCTTTTTTCTCACAGTACTATCTCTAGCTACTCTTGCTGCTGCCCACAAAGCTTTAGGTGTCCTTTCACGGGTGTGGGCTGGGTAGTTTTCTCAGGCTCTTCTTCAAGAAAGGCTCATCAAATTAGAAAATGACAATGCCTCCTTCTCTTTCACTCTCTCTCTCCCTCCTTCCCTTCTTTTCTCACTGTATTTCTGGAACTTATATTTCTAGAAAATGATTCCCAAGTTGCTTAATAACTGCATGAAAAAATTACTATTGAACATTTTCCCATTTTTAGTTTGATATCTATAAGAGCCCTCTCGGAAGGGTTGTTGTCAAGATGAAATGAAATAATCTACATAAAGTACTTAGTACACGGCTGGGCATATGGTAATCACTCTTTAAATAGCAGCTGTTGTTATTATTAGCAGTAGTATGATTAGCTAAGTTTATCTGTTTGTTTGCCAATAGTATCCACTCAAAATTTTAACTTAAGCAAATTATTATGTTGAGAGAATAATCAAATAGCAGCTATTATTTACTAAGTCTTTTATACCAGGCATCATCAGCTACTTTACATGAATAGCCTATTTAAGCCCCTAGCAGTCCCATGAAATAGAAATTGGGATCCCATTTTAAAGTGAGAAACCCGCACACTTGTAAGAGTTAAGCTATTTTGCTGGGTCACTAGTTAATTAAATTGACCATAGGGATGCATTTTCTTCTGAGATAACCACCTTCTTGCAGGATGTGCATCCTGCCAGATTGTAGCACAGCACTCTACCCCTCAGTGGGAAGCTGTTGGGCCTCATTGGGCACTGTGAGCATTAGAGAAGAAATCTCAAACTGGGCCCTCTTCAAGAAGCTGACAGTGGGTAAGTCAGCCCTGTCGCAACCTTGCCCAACATTTTGTCATTAAGACTTAAAGGTTTGCAAGCTTCAAGTACCTGATTATCTTCCACTGTTTTATGTTTGTTGCTTTTAGCATGTCCTCCATCAGCCCAAACCAAGTATGTTCTTAAAACACTGTGACAAGTGTACAGACTAAAGTTTATTCTCTAGTGCAAGAATTTTCAGAGGTCTGGGATTCTAGACATGTTCTCCTAAAGATTTCCAGGATAACTTCCCTCCTCTTACTGCAGGTGTATTCACAAAAGAAGTTAGGTTTAAGCTGACTCAGCTGCTGTAATGACAACCCTGTCGGCCATGATCAATGCTTTATGTCATGGGAACTACTTGGTGCTACGTCTCTGATGTCCTCAAAATATTCTTTTATTTTAAGAAAGGGAATGTGGCGTAAACCAAGTTTTAGGGATTGTCACCCAGTTACACACAAGCAACCTCTAATGACTGTTCTAATAGCAACTGCTTCACATATTTCTCTTGGGTTACTCACACCAGTATTATTATCCAACCTGTTAATGGCTTTCCTTGAAAACATTATTTATTCATCTACTTGGCTCTAGTTACAAAGGACACACAATGTCTCTTGAAGTAGAGCTGGCTTCTTTTAAAGGGTTTGGAAAAACTTGAACAGAGAAGGATAAAGCCTTTTTTATGGGAACTGTCCTTTATATCAATTACACTTCTGCCCTGTCATGAATTGTGACTAGCCATTCAGGAATGTCTCCACCATCAGAATGTGGAAAACATGCCATTGGGAAGGTTAGTTCAATGGCAGTTCTGGCTTTGGCCTTGGGCTGGACACCACTAATGCACAGTATGACTCAGACTTCCTTCTCGAAACGCCTTATCTCTAGACACCATACTCCATGAATCTCTTTCTCTATTTGTAATCCTTGTAATCCTCATGCTCCTCTGTCTGACCTTCCCTTCCCACAAAAATTCAGAAAATATGCACTTAATAAACAAACAAATCCATTGACAAAGATAGATGTATTCAAGACAGCTTTACCAAAATTCAGCTTCAAACTTGTATTTAACAAAATTCCAGCAAAAATGCTCATTTCAAACTCCAGCCAACTATTTTATTGAAACCAATTCAAAGCCAAACATTTTCTGAATACCTACAAGGCAACAAAAATAATAAACAATGTTTGGCTATCTTTCACACCATGGGAGATTCAGAGTCCCAATTCCAAAAGAACAGGAAGACGAGGTAAAAGGAGGCAGACTTGACAAAGTGATTGTGTGGAGAGTGGCTCTCACTCTGAAATCAAAGACAGAAGTTTGTTCCAGGGAACCTTCAGGTCAACACCACAATTGCTAAGAAATCAGGATACAGGGGACAGTCATGTTAACTAGGTTCTTATAGGTCTTCTCACCGTCCCACCTACCTTTTCTGTTGGCTTTTGTAGATTTTCTGTCTCTGTTTTGAGTTAATTTCCACAAGGTGACTGTAAAAGACATCCATATGTGACCAGATCAGTACTATTCAAGTGCCTGTGTGAGTTTAAATGCCCAAAGATCTGAGACATTTCAGAATTTAGACTTCAAGTCTAAGAGAAGACATAATTTCTAAACAACATGTCTCAAATGATAGTGTTCATATCCATAAAGAAGAGAAAACTATATTATAAATATAGCTATATCGACTCAAGGCACCATGTAGTTCTGAGAACCCATAAATGTCATGTAAACTCAAGCCCATAATGTACAAACAGAGACACCTCTCGACCTACACCTAGTATGCCCAGGTACATGAATAAAAAAAAAAATCACTAACCCAAGCAAGGTATAGAAGTAGATGTGAAAAACTTCTAGGATGGAGAAAAATACTAAAGAAGACATAAGCTTGAAAAGTAAGAGTAGAATTTGGGTACCTTTTCTAAAATCTAGAGGTTGGAAATTTGAAGAAAAGGAAACATAATTGAGTTAACCAAAGCAGATGGTAGTAAAATTAAAACTAAATTAGAGTGTATTGAGTACCTATCTATCAGATTCTGTTCTAAGAAATATTATCACATTTAGTTCTTAACAATCTCATGCACAAGTATTAACAATGCAGAAACTGAAGCTCCAGTAAACAAACTAAATTTGCTGTAAAGCCCACAGCTAGTAAGTGGTACAATGAAGAGTCACATCATGTCTACCTTACTCCAAATCTCACATGCTATGTCCACAGTCAAGTTTACAGCAGGAAGGATAACCCTTCCAAGTTTTCAGAAGGTATCTAGATAATTCAAGCTTTGAATAAGTAACACTGGTTTTCAAGGAAATACTACAAATTGCCACCATCTGGACAAATCCAATGGCCCATTTTCATTACATTCAAATACAAATCTATAGAAAGTCCCAATAGAATCAAGATCACAAATGCATACATCGCCATGTCCCCAAATATGACTGCAGAAACATCCTATTATGGATGTAGAAGTTCCTTTCCTTTGGTAAAATCCTGAAAACATTTATACAGATGTGTAGATAGTGTTAGAAATAGCTTACTTCTTGATGCTTCACTCTGCTACTATTTTTTCAGTTTATCTACCTCTACTATCTAGCATATTAGCATTGTTACCACTTCCCATCAGTTTCCTCCTTTTTCCTTTTAAATGCCCATCATAACAACCCAGTAAGGTGGGCAAGGCAGCAAAGTATGTGTCTATGCTCACCCCTCAGAGCCCTCCCCACTGCAGTTGTGGGCATGACACGCCCTATGTCTTGGGTTCACCCACAGCTATCTCATCTTCCCCATTAACATACAGTATTTCCATGTTTTATCTTTTTCTAATGTTTTCCAGTAGAGGGAAGAAGAACTACATCCTTTTTCTGCCTATCTCTTTATGGTCACTTTTCAGTATTAAACTTTCTAGGGAGAAAGAAAAATCATATCTAAGGTTAAGAGAAAAGAAAAAATGAACCACCATGCATTTGAAGTGGAATTTGACTCATACTAACCCCCTAAGAGAAAAGACATGAGAAATGACAGGCCTTTGTTTTTTATATTAGGATAAAATCTATTCATTTTTGATCCTGAGCAATTTGACCCCAGAAACAAACTTAGAACTATAGTTTAAATGTTAAATTCCAGTGAACAGACAGTTTCATTTTTCAAAAAGCAGCCTTTTACTTAGGAGCTTATATGGAAAACAAGATTATATCCACTTGTTCTTTCTCAGTTGTTCTGTGACTTTATATTTGCCTGTGTTTTATTTTTGTTTTTTTCACAAAAAGACATTTTTCTAACTCAGCAAATTATCACTATCCTAATTCTGTTAAGTCTCAGTTATTTAAGGACAAGTTATGAACTGGAATACATAATTCTTTGCATCAACAAACATTTGATTTAGTTCAATAAATTTTTATTAGTACTTATTAAATACCAGATGCTATGCTGAGAATTTTATGGGTGAGACTATAAAGATGAATAGACATGGTCCTTACATTTAGAAGTTCACAATCTAATGAGGGAAACAGCATGTAAGCAAGAAAAGAGCATATGTATAACAGGTGCCAAAACAGAGAGAGTACAGGTTGAACGTAATCACAGAGAAAGGGGACTGAAGAGTGGATGTAATGTCTGATATTATCTTAGATTCAGCATGTGTGTCAGTCACACAAGGTATGTATGAGTGCCTGTGTACATGTGTGTGTTAGATGAGGGAGAGAGGGGCAGAAACCGTTCCAAATTTGAGCAAAGGCATAACGTGGCTCATTGGATTCTTGCAACTTCAAGTTAGCTGGAATGTACGATGTAGGAGATGACATGGCCTAGTGTGAAATGAAGCTAGGAAGTCAGGGGGAGTCCCTGGCAAAGTTCAAATCCTGGTCCCTAAACCAGACCTACTGAATCAAAACCTGAATGTGGGTTCTGGGGATCTGCATTTGTAACAAGCACCCCTGGTTCTTCTCATGCTCACTGGAGTTAAATTCCTGCAGCAGAGGATGGAGAACCTCTGCAGACATCTCCTCCTCCTTCCTTTCTTGATCTTTGTTCCTACCATTGATTACCAACACCCAGTGCACTGAAGGGGCTAAGACTCATGGCTCAATTCCACATAGGTGTGGAAAAGCAGCATGAGCAAAAGGAAGGACATGGAAGCTACCATCCAAAAAAAGGTGGAGACCTGGACCCTGTTATCACACCTACTTCTTTGGTGAGTGTATGGTCGTTACTTTTTTACTTATATAATTGTTGGTTTTCTTGCAATTAGGAAGTATTTGAGTGTTTGGCTTTAGTATTCCTAAATTCTTCATAATGTATGTTTTAAAATGGTTTTCAAGTACTTGCTTTTACATTTATCTATACTCCTACCTGATGGTGTTTCTTATTATGTAAAGATTAAATAGAAAAAAATCCTTTCTAAATGTGAAAATTATACTTTTACAACATTACATGCAGTGATGCATGTGCCAGAAATGTGTGAAAATAAGGTTTTAATTCAGCAAGAGGCATAGTGTGATCACGTCTCACAATACTTCCTATGCCACGTCTTCCTTCAGCTGGTGCATTCAGTGAACAACATGCTTCTGATCAAGACACTTGTGCACCTCCACTCACATGCTTTTCTCCTTGCAGGTCTAACTAACCTGGATGGCTGTGAGTTGGCTTAATCTCAGCTGGCAACTGTGAGATGTTCATACAATCCCCACAGTGGTCTCTGGGATTATGCTAAACAGAGCAATTTCCTTGTCCTAATGGATCAAAAGACTTGCATGGCCACCAAAATTAGTGTATCAAATATTTGTTTCATGACCAAGAGGGGAAAAGCTGCTATTGTTTCGTGCTTGACCTCTTTTGATCTTACTAAAGTCTTTTTCTGAAGCCCTGTTGTCCTGGAAAGGCAACCGGTCTTGGGAATTAATTTGCCTTTATTGGATTCACATGCTATTTAAAGTGCTCCTTCAATGCTACTTGGATTTTTAAAAATTGCAACCAAGGAAGCTTGAGTGTTAGAAGCTGGACTTAAAATGCTTTCCTTCTGAAAGCTTCTCGCACATTTTTTGTGGGTACTAGTAGGTTAAATTCTAAGCAGTCCGAAAGAGGATGATCTCCTGACAGGCCCTCCTCAAACTTCAACTGCCCAGCACATCACATGGAATGGCTTTTCCTTATTGCTTCTGTTGAGGGTTTCAATTCCGACTGCCCTCCCTCATTGACACTGAAACTTAGAATCAACTCTGGCTCAAGCTAAGGTCGCCCCAAGACTTGAGCTCTACCTCGTTCTAATTCTTGGTGACTCCTGGAAACAGGAGCAGGGAATTGCATTCTGCAAAAACAAGGAGAACAAATGTAATTCCTTGGGGTAAAAAAATCAAGGCATGTTCTCTTCTTCATTCACCCAGCAGCACAAAACAGATTAGATGGTGCAAATTTATAATTAAATGTAAGTTTAACAAAAAAAATTATTAAAGATGCAGTTTCAAAGATCTTGAATGGCACATAGCTTTTAGAGTATCTTTAGGAAAACAAGAAGCCTATGTTTCTATCTGATTAAACAACATTTTTCCAGATTAGTATAATATTATGTATTAGGTTTTCCTGTCAGAAATTGATGCTGGGTGGTAGGAAGTCAGTTTGAGAACTAGTTATTCCCAGACCAACAGGATAAATACTAAATTATAAGCCAAAAAATAACTTACCTCTGGTAAGAAGAGGGCTTCATATTAATTCTCAGGGTTCATTGGGCCCTTTTAAAGCCACTGAAACTTTCCAAATGCCATCTATATCTTCCTGCTAGTTGAAATAACCATTTTTTTCAAACATTAAAAAATTCACCATTTCAGTTCTTGATGACAATTTTTCAAACAAGTTGGGAAATTCTTCTTTTTCAATAGGTAAGAAAATGAATGCAGTTTGAGAGGGTAGGAGATGTTTTTTAAATAGCTGAGTGTACAGTGTGTGTCAGGAACTCTGCCTGTAGCCCTGATTGTACAAGCAGTAGGTATATTGTTCTGTCTATAAATGTTTGTAGTACTCTCTACACATACACAAACCAGGGGAGCTTCTAGAAATGCCAATGTCAAGGATTGCATCCATCATGGATGAATGAAATCAGAATGCCTGGGGTGGGCCCAGCATCACTATTTAAGAGCTACCCAGGGGATTCTAATGTGCAGCCAGAAGTGAGAATCATTGTATCTGAGCCCCACAAGAAGACTGAGGATGGAATAGAGTGAGAAAAACTGGTGGGAAATGAGGTTGGAAGGGTAGCTGGGTGGACCATGGTAAGGATTTAGGGTTTTAATGTGAATGGCTTGAGAAACAAGTGGAAAGTTTTAATTACAGAAGTGACAAGACTTATTGACATGTAACATAGGTTAACTAAATTTTCCTCAGAAACTAATCATTTATAAACTTCCTCCAAGGAAAAATAGCTATTAGGGGTTTTGAGTAACTTCCTTGCAAGTAAACTTTAGGAGTGTAGACCACAAAATAGGTGGGTTCCTACCAAGAAGAACACTGGTATGCAAGACCAAAAAGGAAGCTGGCTGCTGAGGAATCAGGAGCCCCAACGTTTGGCAACTAATTAGTTGTGTTGTTGTTTTAAGGAAAAAATCACCCACGTTTTCAGCCACATAGAATCTAAAATTCTGGATCTGCATTCTGGTAGTAATTAGCATCAAACCAAAGGAAGGATTTTACACCTCTGCCAATGAGACACTCAAAATATTGTTAGATGGGGTTGGTTTATGCCACCCCTCACTGAAGGTAGAGTGCACCAGGGTCCCCAGCCTTTTAGTAGTTAGTCTCCGTCTTGCTCACTATCTGAGCCCTTGTTTGGGCTGCAGAGAACTAAGTCCTTGTCTCAGTCACCAGCACCAGCAGTGTGGCACTTGTTACCCCTTCTCCTCCCAGAGCAAGCAAGCAGAGCCTATTACCAGTCCTCAGGCCTGCACCTTCAGTGTGTGCTGAATCTGTGATCCTGAGCTATTGTTGAAAATATGAAATCTATTTCTTCTCAGTACTGGTAGCCATGTTCACTTTATCTTCCAGCCTGTATGTTCCTGTCTGACTATAGATTGCAACTCACTAAGGCTCTGAGCATGGCTCATGTCAGACCTCATCTCTAGGCTTGGACTTGGCTTTGCGCTTAGGAGACACAGTGATCATGTACTTCCCATAGCCCTTGGCTATCTACAGTCCCATACAAAGGGTGCCCCAAAACTGCTTCTTTACATGCACCCTGATTCTTCCCTCACCTGGTATGCTAGCATGTACTTCAGCTGTGGTGCTCAAAGCTTTCACTGAGTATTTTCTTAGCATCCCAGGTTTCCTCCCCTGGTATAGACCTCCAGCCCCAAAATGTCCCACCACCACACAGCACTGGTGCCTACCAGAGTGGCAGAAGTCCAGAGGTCAAATGATTTCTCTGCTGATTTTCTGGCTTTCCATACTACCTGTAAGTTCCCAAAAAGAGCAAAGGTCTATTTTGAGCTCATGTCCCACGATAACTCTTGAATGAGCCTCCTTGGTGCTAGAAATCAACATTTCAGTCATGGCCTAAAAATCAAGAAAGATCTTCAGCCCCATTAGACAGCTAGAGTAGGGGACTCAGCTGGCTCAGGAGGCTGACTCAGACCTTTAGTTGCTGCAAGAAGCCTTGCGCTGTGAGGAAGTCTCAACCTGAGAGCAACTAGATGATCATTCTTGTGTCACCAAAGGACTTTATTATCCTCTACATCTGAATGGATGTGATAAGGAATGTGGACAAGTTCAAAGCAGGCCAAGGTTCCATTTGCCACCAGGAAAGCCTGTGAAGTCATTGAGAGTCAAAGCAGCTGGAGACATTCTAGCAGCATCCCTATAAAAGCTGTAAAATAGCCCCAGGCTCACAATGTCTCTGGACACCCAAATAATAACTTTCTGTGGCCTTCCTCATGCTGTACTACCAGAAGATGAATAATTAGTTGTTAAATGCTCAGAGAGTACCATCGTTGTCTTCCTTTGGCAAATACCCTTTCCCCTACCCCTTCCCAAAGTCAAAACAGCAGCAAAACAAAAATAAAACTAAAGTGGGTTATGCCTTCAGCAATCATTACAAAGTCTCCATGAACTCTAAAGCTACCCATCCTACCCAAGCCAGAACTGTCTTCTGTTAAGGTAGAGCAAAGTTAAAGAAAAATTTCCTGGTCACAGACTCAATCATATATTAGCTAGAGCCTCTCAGCAGGTACCCAATTTTCTAGGTAATCCTTATAGGCTGAACTTCTAAACATATATCATTGTTTAACTCACATTCTCAAAACTTGCTGCACTTGTGCCACTGACTCTACTAGCAATGAACCTGGTGGTCTGAAGAGGGAAATGATGGGGAAGGTGCTATGCTCAGCCAACCTGCTTGATCAAGAAGAAACTCCAGCTTCAAGTTCCTCTCCCCCTAAATTACAGCTGCTTTCCATTTTCCACTCAATAAGAACTTAATGCCAATGAGGTACCAGGTTCTGTATTAGGCATGTAGCTTTAAACAAACCATCCCTGCCCTCAGTCAAGTGGAGGAGTTGGTTTTTAAGTCAATCATGTAAATATCTTCAATGTAATTATAGATGGTTAAGTGCTGTAAGCAAAGAATAGGGAAACCTCATCTAGACTAAACTGAGGTAGGGATTTGAAGAATGAGTAGGAGTTATGGAAACAGTATGGTGAAAATCTTGGGAGAAGAAAGGAGTTCAAATCAACTCTAGGAACACATAAGACTGCCCCCTGTCTGACAGTCTTGTGACCTGGAATGGACATGCTAGAAAGATCTGTCTGGAAAAAACCTGAGGAGATACTGTGACCACAGATAAGAATTCTACTAAAAAAGAGAGAATAAGCTAGAAATTGTGTCCCTGAAATACTTTAATGTATTCTAAAATTTCACCATCTGTAAAATAGAAATATGAAGAAAACAACTCTTAGTCCTATTTGGAATCCAGATAAATAAAGACAGAGAGATAGCAATCAGGGAGTGGACTTCCAGTCTCCATTTTCTGATCCCCCACACTCAGCTCCACCTTCCACTTTTTAGTTCTATAATGGGCATCTCAGTTACTGGAAGATGCCCTTAGCCTGTGCACTGCTCCAAAGATTAAGACTGTGGATTTTAGGATTCCCCTCTTTTATGATGGCCTATTATTGCGGCCACTGGCCTGCAGTGACCGTGGAACACTGCAG